AGAAGATATCCAGGAGAAGAGTGGTGGAAACACCTAGTAAGAAAGGGATATGATCTCATCAACTGCAAGCCAACCTGGTTTTCTGGGACGGGAAAATCCTGTGTCACATAACCTACTGGGAGTTCTATGACCAAGGTGACAGCAGTAAGACAAGAGAGGGGTTGGTGGATTGCATATCTTGGACTGCAAGAAGGCGTGTGACAGTTCCACACAAGAAGAGTGGTTGCAAATAACTGGAGGACCAAGCAGGGATAAATAGGGAAGGCACTACATGGATCGGGAAACTGTCAGAAGACAGCAGCGAGTCATGGTAGTGGCGAGGTGTCAGACGTGGGCCCTGTATGACCAGCGGGGTCCCACAGGGGCAGTCCTAGGACCAGTCTGTTTCTGGTATTTGTGAACGACATGATTGAAGGAATAGGACTCTGAGTGGTGTCCCTGTTTGCAGATGACGTGAAGTTGATGAGAGATTCACTCGATCGAAGACCAGGCAGAGAACTACAAAGGGATCTGGACAGGCTGCAGAAAACTGGTCCAGCAATTGCTCTGGAGTTCAATCCCACCAAGTGCAAAGTCATGAAGATTGGGGAAGGGCAACAAGAAGACCGCAGACGGAGTACAAGTCTAGGGGGCAGAGACTACAAATAACCTCACTCAAGGAGAAAAAAAGAGCTTGAGGTGAGTAAAACACCAGGCACATCGCCTGAAGCGCACATCAATCCAAATAACTGGCTCTGATATGGGGCGCCTAGCAAACTCAGAACAGCATTTCCGACATCTTAATAAGGGATCGTTCAGGACCCTGTACACGTGTACGTTAGGCCCATATTGGAGAATGCGGCACCAGTTTGGAATCACACCTAGCCAAGACGTGAAGATATAGAGAAAGTGCAAAGGTTTGCACAAGACTAGTCACAGAGCTAAGAGGTATGTTCCTACGAGTGAGAGGTTAAGGGAAATCAACCTGACGACACTGGAGGACAGGAGAGATAGGGGGGACATGATAACGACTTACAAAATACGGAAGGCTGAATTGGACAAGGTGGACAAAAGACAGGAAGTTCCAGAGATTGGACACATTAACAAGGGAGGACACAGTTGGGAGCTGAAGACACAGATGATCACAGGGATGTTAGAAGTATTTCTTCAGCCACGAGTAGTCAGTAAGGGAAGAGTTTGAGGAAGGGCGATTGTAGTGGAGGCAGGATCCATCATAGCTTTAAGCAGAGGTCTGATAAAGCTACGGCCTCAGGGAGGACGTGACCTAGTTAGCGATCAGTGAAGGGCGGGGCCAGGGAGCTCGCGACTCGGACCCCCGCAACCTCAACAAGGTGAGTACACACACACACCACAACACCACACACACAAAAGTACTCATATACAACAGGCCTAGTGTCTAATCGACATGTGCCTAGGACTAAATGTAAAACTAAACACATACGCACACACAAACCCCACACAAACACACACACACACAACAAACAATACCCAAAACAACACAAACCCCCACACAAACACACACACACACAAACCCACACACGCATAAACCCCCCCACACACACGCAAACCCACACAAACACACACACACACAAACCCACAAAGTGTTTTAGATACAAAAAAAAAAAATTACCTTAACAATGTGTACTATTCGCGGCAGTGAGAAAGAATGACATATAAATTTTTTACATTACAAATTCTGAGGAATTGTGTAGCAAAGAATTTAATGGCCAAATTGAATTTACTTCACCAGAATTTTCCGAATGAGTTGAATATGGTAGAGCAGTGAGCAAAGCAAGAAACTAATTGTATTTATAGCCAATTTATTATATTCGTGGGGAAAACGCTAAATCCGTAAGGGTCACATAGAGTCTTGGTTGTGGGAGGTAGTGAGATTCGATTGTGTGGGTGAGTCAAATTCGATCCAGGTAAAGGGGAAGATAGCTCCGATTCCTTGTATCAAGAGCCCTTTATTATCATCAAAGGGAGCGCTCCAAGGATGGCTTCCCGGTCGCCACTGGTTGCTTCTGGCTATCCCTGCCTGCTTTCCCGGTATCATAGCTTCTCCTCCCACAGCCCTTCCCCGGTAGCCCAGGTAGCAAAGGGTATCGATGAAGGGGGAAAGGGAAAAGGGCAGGGGGAAGGGAAGGAGAGATGGGATGGAGGTAGGTGATCGCGTTAACCCGTGAAATCGACTTTGGCGTCAATTCCATGAAGATCAGGTAGCCAGGGTTACCGCACGGTCACTTATTCTCAACTCTTGTGTCAATCTCAATTTACAAATATCACCTAATATTTTACAATTTAACCCCTCTTGTCTTGAACAGTACAAAGAGTTTTTATATTTTACAGTGTATTTCGGAGTGTTTATCACTGTACGTGAAAGGATTTCGGAACACCAGTTCAATTGCTGGTGATTTCAACTCCCCGGCGGTAGTGATCTCGTGAAGCACCGACCGGACCTCTCTGTCCAAGAGATATATTGTTGCAGAGAATGGTGATGCATTATCCGTGGTCATTATAGTCAATTCCGTTGGCTGATAACGAGAAAATCATCTTCATTATTAAACACTATTAAGTCTCAGGGCGGCAACACTCTATCCATTATACTCAACGTATCAAGGGGTGACAATGCTATTATGCACGCCTTTTATAAATATATTTTGCCCGGCGTTAATAATGTGTATCGCTCGGCGTTTATGTGTTCCACTTGGCGTTCATAATGTGTATCGCTCTGTGGAGAGCGAGGAAATCACCTCATATCATTATGGATCAGTGTGACCCGTAGTCAAGCCAACAAGGGCGGCTCGATACGGCATAAGATGTCAGTGACCTTTATTACCCGCAACAAGATGATGCAGCGTAAGTTGTCAGTGGCCCTTATAAACAGCAACAAGAAGATACGGCTTGAGTTATCACTGGTACTATAAACGTAAACACAATGAACTAGCAAATGCGTTATCCAACGTATTCACAAGTGCGTTGGATAATCCACAGTGACCATTAGTTATACTTGGTTAGACTAATTAATGATTGGTTAATTTACCCTAATCTATTTACCAATAATTAAACGCTAATAGCCAAATTACGTCAATGGGAGCGAAACGTCTGGCAGAGGGAAAAGAGATCGCTGTCGGGCTCGTTTGATAGGCAATGGAGCGAGATAATGACTCGTTGGTAAAGAAACACAAATGTAGTTTAATGGAACTTGTATTGACGACGTTTCGCCCACGCAGTAGACCCTAGCAAATTTATATGCTTGTGAGGGAGTATATCTCTATTATTTATAGGTAAATTTTACTGAAAATTTCTGGAAATACCAGAAAACTCCAAAAAGCGTGAACAGAATTGCGAAAAATATTCGTTTTTCTTTAAGTATGATAAATTGAAGAATGAGACACCAGTGCAGCATTCGCCAGCCACTCGCTGGCGATACGTTGGCTCACTAAAGATTCCAAAACATTGCACAATACGAAACTTATCTTTAAAGACTTTTTCTGTTTTTAATCTTCGTTATCGTAGCAAGGATAAGCTTGAGTTTTGTGAGATTGGAGTGCATTAAGATCTGCGTAGATGGCGCTTAGGGGTTAGGATTATATTGCGACAGATCTCATTGGTTAATTGGGTTTAAGGCTGAATACCACTTGTTTACCACCAGTCAAGAATAATAAACTCTCAAATACAAATACACTGAGAGACATACACCTCTCAGTGTTTATATTCCTGTTAAAAATTATTCATCTCTTGTGATTAAAGTTCCATATGGAATTATATTATCCAGAATTAAATGAGAAAATATTAATAGTAATACTTTGACTTTCTTCATTTATATCAAGAAATTTGTGGCTGTCAACAGATATATAAGGATCGTCAGTTGGTATCAAGATTAAGAAAAGATTATAGTAATTATCTCCTTTTAGATAGAGTGTTAAGATGTGTGCAGTGTTATATATCCCTTGAATACAGTCTCATGGACACAGAGACAAGGTTGTAATCTGTGAGATCTGCGTTAGATTAGCTAAGTTATGCAGACGCGAATATCAGTTAGAGTTATGCTCCGAGAAGAAAGATTTTCACAGGAACTGCACGCAATCTGTCGGACGGCTGGCAAGACGAACAATCATGGTAGGACACTTTTGTCATCAACGACGTTTCGCTCATTGTGAAGCGCAATTCGAATTGGTGAAGCTCAATCAGAGCGAAGGATCTTTGCACCACACAAGTAGGAAGAGAGAAAGTACACGATAAACCAAGTGAAAAGTACGGGTGCAGTAAGCACAATAAAGGAACGCTATATCAACATCCGTGGTCCCAGATTATTCAACATCTTACCAGAAGATATCAGAAACACTGCTGGGACAAGTGTAGAAAGCCTTCAAGAGAAAACTGGACAAGTATCTTCAGCAGGTGTCAGATCAACCAGGCTGTGATGGATATGTGGGGCAGCGGGCGACCAACAGCAACAGCCTGGTTAACTGCGCTAGCACCAGACGAACCTGGCCCATGGTCGGGCTCCGGGGGTAGAGAAAGTCCTGGAATTCGTCAAAGGTATATCAAAGGTAAAGTTAATTTTCATTTTTAAATGATACACCTGAAAGCCAGTGGAAGGCTTCGGTCATGTGACCAAAAGCACCAGTAGTGGTTCACAAAATGACAGATTCGAATCAGGAAGCAATTATTTTGCTGCCTGACGAATCCTACCTAACTTAACCCTAGACCAAAAATAGAGTATTTCCACTCATCTTAACACTGTACCAAAATGGGATGTTCATCTCCTGCTAAGCTGGGAATGCTGATACTGGTGCTGATTCATCATCATCTGTTGCTGCTGCTCCCGTTGCTGCTGATGCAGCTGTTGCTGCCTTTTTCTCTTCTCATTCTTATTTCCTTCTTCCCCTTATCCTCTCCCGTCTCCATTCCTTTTTGCCCATTTTCTTTTCACTCCTATTTTTTCATTTCACGTCCTCCAACTCTTCCTCTTAAAATTCCTCCTCTTCTTATACCTCCTGCTCCTTCAGGGCCTCCTCCTCTTATACCTCCTGCTTCTTCAGGGCCTCCTCCTCTTACACCTCCTGCTCCTTCAGGGCCTCCTTTTATACCTCCTGCTCCTTCAGGGCCGCCTCTTATACCTCCTGCTCCTTCAGGGCCTCCTCCTCTTACACCTCCTGCTCCTTCAGGGCCTCCTCTTATACCTCCTGCTCCTTCAGGGCCGCCTCTTATACCTCCTGCTCCTTCAGGGCCGCCTCCTCTTATACCTCCTGCTCCTTCAGGGCCTCCTCTTATACCTCCTGCTCCTTCAGAGCCTCCTCCTATCCCTCCACCTCCCCGGTCTCCTCCGCCCCACATTCCCAGCTAAGTACAGAGCACTTACCTTATGAACGACTGATTTGGGTCGATTCAGAAACCCATGTGTCACTGATGTAGCACTTGTAGCACCGTAATCACGCTACAGCTAGACGTTTAATGCTACCCAGACAGGGGCAGGTGGCCTGGGATGCCCCAAGCATGTTTTTGTATGTCCAGTTATGCTGTCGAGAGTGTTCCTTAATCTGCCCAATCCTCACCTGCTCTACGTAGGGAATGGGAGGCCGGAGAATGGGCGTTGGGGAATGGGAGCTGAATGACTGGGATTTGGAGAATGGGTCTGGAGGAATGAAAGAGGGATGTTCGAAGATGGGATTTGGTTGACTGATAGAAGTGGGTTGGAGGATTGGGGATTAAGGCTAGATGAATAGGGATTGAAGTGGTTAAGTTTGAAGAGTTGGGGATTAAGGTTGGAAAATCATCATCATCATCACCAAATTAATACAATATGCTTCATTCATTAAAGAATTTTGAAATAGGGATTTCACCACTGATAGGAATTAAAAAAATAATTTATCTGTAGGAAAGAGTAAATTCATTCCACTTCCAAATAGAGCATCAACAGCTTCCTCCATTAACATCAATTGCCCCATTAATAAAAAGAACAATGTAATCAGCCTTCTTATCGCGGCTCAGAACAATCTAATCCCATAAAAAAAGGATAAAAGAATCGCAAAGGATACGATCTGAATCATCTTGTTGGTGGATTATAGGGCCACTGGAAGCTTACGTCGTATCGAGCTCTATGCAGCCTGAAGGCTCCTGGCCAAGTCTTTATTTACAGATTTTCAAATTTTGAAGTGTTCCATGTTGGAGCCGAGGAAAGGGATCCTATACACGGAAGTGTATGTCTCTGGGTGAATATACGGGTAGAGGTGTATATCTCTGGGTGTATATACGTGTAGTGGTGCATGTCTCTAGGTGTATATACCCGAAGATGTACATATCTACGTTTAGATTTCACTCATTTTCCATTTCTTGCAATTAATGTAGGCTTGCCTCATAGTATCTAATTTACGAAGAGCCCAATAATAATAATAATCATAACAGTAACAACAACAACATTCTTAACTACAATAAAAATAATAATATTACAGTAACAATAATTACACTAGCAATAATAATAATAATAATAATAATAATTAGAAGACAACTATAATAAAAAAAGAAGATCCTGGGTGGAGGTACCAAACATTAGCTCGGGTGCAACCGCTACTGCTCCGCTTCCCCGCTCATTTGCATATATCTCATTTGCATACATCTCATACGTATATATTGATTATATATGAATTTATATATAACACTTATTTGTATATACCGTTTATTTGCATATATTTTCATTGTTTGTGTGTATCAATTACTAGCATACTGTATGTATATATATATATATATTACATATATATATATATATATATGTAATATATATATATATATATATATATATATATATATATATGTAATTATATATATATATATATTTTATATAATATATATATATATATAATATTATATATATATATATTTATTATATATATATATATTATATGTATATGAAGGTTGAAGTGTTTAGCAAAAGTTGTCTTAAAAGATAATGAATCTGACAGAATATTAATTGTCATAGTCGCTTTTTGCTGATGACACAGTTCTTTTGGCTTGATTCTAAAGAAGAGTTGAATAAGTAAGACACATAGGCAACAGTTAGGCAACTTTATTCCGGAATAAAGTTGCCTAACTGTTGCCTATGTGTCTTACCTACCAACCTGTCGGTATTGTATACCATTTTGATGTTCATCAAGAGTTGAATAAGTTGATGGTGACGTCAGGAAGGTCGTGTAGAAAATGGAGGTTGAGAGTCAACTCTGAGAAGGGTAACTTTATGAGAGTAAGGAATAGTGTTAGAGAATGAGGAAGATATTCAGACGGGAAGGAAGGAGGGAAGGAGTAAGGTGAAAGATTGAAATGGTGCATTGTCCAATGTTATGCAAACAGAGGAAACCTTATATGGGAAGAACGTTTTTGCTCTCTGTGTGGAGCTTCATTATAACAGTTTCTTTAAGCTCCACTCAGAGCAAAACGTTTGCAGCCCATAAAAATGTGTACTGCAACATCTCTCCTTGTCTTCAGCAAAGTGGAAATTGATGCGTTTAGATATCTGATAGAATCAGCAGATGGCTCTATGAAAGACGAGGTGACTCACACAGAAGCAAAGAAAAACTTATAGCAGGAGTGTTAGGAAGTCCGTAGGAAAAAGAAAGACATTTGCAACTGAATATAAAAGAAGCGGAATGTATAATATGGAAGCAATGATTTTGTATAATCGTGTGACGGGAACTACGAACGTCGCAGCGAGGAGGAGGCTGCAGAGGCAGCAAAGATGTTGTGTGTATATCACTGTGGGGTGTAAATATGTAGAGAATAAAGAGGGAAGAAATTGGAAGAGGGTGTTGTGGTATGAACGATATGATTTACTGGTCTCTCACCTTAAATATTACACTTGGGCATTATGAAACAACATAATTTACACGAATGAAGACAGATTCATACGTCTATATGATGCCTTTTATAAACAATGTGAGATTTATACAGGAGAGGCTGCGAAAAGGTCCAAACTGAAGATTAATTTAACGCAATTATAGCGTTAGATCTTCTGGTGTCTACGGTCAAAGACTGTGTCGGGCAAAGCAGACGGAGGATCGAGCCTCCACCACGCTATGAAATAATGTAGTATAAAGTTAATTCTGACAAGATGGTATAAACCTTGGTAATAAATACCGACAAGTTGGTTTAGAAAGACACGTAAGCAAACACTAACATATTTATTAAGCACCACCAACCCACAGGAGTCACATGATTTCATCGTCTACCCGTCCTCATCATAGGTAGAGGTTGTTTTGATAAGGACCTGCCTCGCATGGGCCAGTAGGCCTTCTACAGTGCTCCTCCATTATGTTCTTATGACATTCCTCAGGTCACGTGCGTCACACCTCACTCTCCGCCTATATATAATGTCTTTCTACCTCTGTATGTTAGAAGTGATCAAGGTCCCAGGACCTAAACGTTTTCTAATAAATATGTTATAGTGTTTGCTTACGTGTCTTTCTAAACCAAAGTTAATTCTGTCCAAGGTAAAAATTATGTTACATGCAAATTAATGTCTGAACTAAATATAATAGAGAACATTGCTTACACACTCCTTGATTGTTGCCTGATGATTCGTCTAAATAGTAGGCTTCATCAGTCAAATACGGAGGTAATAAGTGTAGTAATGAAATGAAGATTATGTAATCAGTCCATCAACCCTGGAGAAATAATATTTGAGGTGGTCAGTCCCTCAGCTGAGGGACTGACGAAATCCAACTTTTGCACATGTGTTTTAATCATTAACTCGTCGGTATTTTATACCATTTTCAACATGACTGTTGTCTGAACACACACACACATATATATATATATATATATATATATATATATATATATATATATTATATATATATATATATATATATATATATATATATATATATATATATATATATATAATTTCAGCATTTTGCTCGCTATTAGCCTCACACGCACACACACACACTATGGAAGCCGAAGAGACTGCTAATCAGTATTAATCCTGGCGGGGAATCCTTGAACATTTTGTAAGAAGATACGTAATGGGAAGTTGTAGGATCTACAAGCAACTACATGGAATATGGCGCTAGAATTTACAAGCAGATACACAGTATGATAGTAGGATCTAAAAGCAGTACACACACACACACACACACACATACTAAGAGATATTAGGAAGTATTTCTTCAGAGTTGACAGGAAGTGGAACAGTTTGGAGAGTGATGTAATGGAGGCAGGATCCATACAGAGCTTTAAAAAAAGAGGTATAATAAAGCTCATGGAGCAGGGAAAGAGTGGACCTAGTAGCAACCAGTGAAGAGTCAGGGCCAGTAGCTATGAATCGACCCTTGTAACCACAGCTGGGTGAGTACAATTAGGTGAGTAAA